GCGCAGTCTTTAGTCTTTAACCATTAGACTTAAGCGAATTGTGCAAATCCAATTCTTACGGCCTAAAAACATAAGTTCTCTGACCGATATATCGTCACTTACAATTTACGGCTTACGGTTTACGGCTTTTTAAAGCAAGGTTATAGACCTAGATAAAATAACGTTAAAGAAGTAATTAGAAGTCGGCAGTAAAAATGCCAATGGACGAATATACAGCTCTCATTGCCTATCGTTTCAATCTCCATGTTACGGACGATTAAAGCTTGAAATAATCACTTCGATAAACAGCCGTCGCTTGCAGATCGTTAATTGTAATAGTTAATCTACCGTACGGATTCATACTTGTGCAAATTGTTCAAAAGGAATAATCGCATTTTGTAAAATAGGATGACAAAGCACGATGCACGAAACGTCAAGCCACTCGCGCTCAAGTGTCGGTACGCGAATGATAGTAGGTACAATGACGTAGTGTAAGCAATAGCCTGCGCCACACGTTCATTGTGACTGCATCACAAAAACAAACGCTAAGGCCGTGTATCAATCGTCGATTTGTTCTCACAACGAAACAATTGCGAAATAATCTTACGTTGAATATTTTCTGTTTCGTCAAATTCGACCTTTATATATAGAATTATTCGGAATGGATTCCAATTGTAATTATTCAATTATTTTCTAGGTTTATATCGTGCGAGATATTGTGTTTAAAAGGGAAAATAAAATATTTCTGATCAAAATCCACAAATAATTCCAAAAATAATTCCATAAAGCTGTCCAAATTTTGTAATGGCTAGAAGTCAATCAGCATTCACACCTATTCTTTTTCTTGCTTTCCTTTTTCTCAAAAGATAAAAAAAACAATAAACTCTGATACACATATATGTATACATATTAAATCTAATATATAAGTCAAAATAACAGAGCATTGCTTTATTTTATCGAGAAGATATTTGCGAATTAATTAATGATAACAATTTTATGTTGCATCTTTGTATTTCGGGACAAATAAAACTATTTTTTTTGAAGCTTTTTAAAAACAACATTAATAAATTAGGATTTATTTCTATAATTTATTTAATATATATAAATAATAAATAATAAAATTCATCGGTTAATTACAAAATTATATGCAAAATCATTAAAATAATTATGCAGTATAAAAAAGTTAGTATTCATTGAATTTCGCAATGAATTTCGCATTGAATACAATCTTTTAAAATATACAAAATATTATCAATAAAAGATCCCAGTAAACACCAATTAACAGTAACGTAACTAATAGTTATAATTTCCAACTCCACGATATAATTGTAATTTAACACATTGTACGTAACAGTTATATTGTGGAATAAGAAATTATAACTAACAGTTATGTTAATTAGTATTTCCTAGAATATCACGTAGTTTCTCATTAACTTATTTTCTCATTAAATTATTTTCTCTAATAATATGTTGCATATTATTGTACGATCTTAATTCAGAAGTGATAATAAACAAATTATACAATATAAAATTATATTTAAAATTCTAAGTACGGTGTAAGATATATTATATAAATAATATATTAATATTTACTATAATGGACATTTTTTAAAATGATATGTTTGATATTAATATTTGAAGTGTTAATAAATTTTCTATATTATATTAATATAAGTAAGAAAAATTTCTTTTTTCACAACATGATTTATATCTATACATTTGTCTCTTTTTATAATAAAAGATAATTACCTGTCCACCTCTTCGCTGTCGCCCTCTTCGCTGTCCCAAGCCTCCTCCTTCTTCTTCTCTACCGTCTCCCCATCTAGCTCGCACAACCTGCCAGCAAATAAATTATCAAATTCTATGAATAATATTTGATTGTAAATCATACAGAGTCGGTTATTCTATCTTTGGATGAACTATGTGGTAATTTGTCTAATGGACACAAGACGAAGTGAAAGAAGGAATGAAAGCGAGAGCGAGAGAGCAAGTAAATTGAAATTTATTGAAAGATAGAACAATCCAGCCACAATGTTATATTACCATAAATATGAATTATTGTTAACGAAAAGATATTAAATGTCATAAATATTTTATTAAATATTAAAGTCTTGAAAAAAATGTAAACTAATTTATAGACATCTTGTTTACAATTTATAAAATATAAAATGGCTCACAGAATGTAATCATCCCATAAATAAACAATTATTTAATTTTAGTGATAAGCAATAAATAAATTATAATTACACATATTCACCTTTTCACTATCGTCCGATGCCTCTTAAGCTTCTCTTACTCCTCCTTAATTTCTCGTTACCCCGTTGCTATTAATTGGATCGCACAACCTGAGACCAAATAAATTATCAAATTCTATGAATAATATTTGATTATAAATCATACATCAGGGCTGGATTGTTCCATCTCCGGATGAACTATGTAGTAATTTATCTAATGGATACAAGAAAGAGCGAGCGAGAGAGAGAGAGAGAGAGAGAGAGAGAGAGAGAGAATGAAAGCGAAAACAAGAGAGCAAATAAACTGAAATTTATTAAAATAAAACAATCCAGCCACAATATATTATAATGTTTATATTAAATATTAATTGAGTCGAAAAGATATGACATTATATTTTTTCCATAAATATTTTATCAAATATTTAAAGTTCCTTAAAAAATGCAAACTATAATTTATATATGCATTTTTTTACAACCAGTAAAATATAAAGTGGCGCACAAAATGCCATCGTCACATAAATAAATGATTATTTAATTATAAGAAATAAATAGTAATATACCTGTCCACCTTTTCGCTGTCACCCGATCCCAGGTTGCCTACTTCTCCTCTCGCGTCGCCACCATTCACAGTTCGTACAATCTGCTCGTAAAAAACGGATCCGATTACAAATATGCGCGCATTAATCATGAGAGACTACAATAATTGCACGATACTTCTGATATTGGTTTTACGCGTAACACATTTTATAATACCACGATGAGAACAAACATCGCGAGAAAAACGAAGATATGGAATAAATAATATTCAGTATATTAACGCGGCGGGAAGGAATCCAAAATGGCTATCGCGCGGGAAACTTCACGACTATCGTCTATTTTGCGCGTTTTCCGCACTTTATAGTAATTTATGCGATAAATTTCTATTCTCTGAACAATGAATAAAAGATTTCGTGGCTATCTCGTATTACATAACTGAATATATTTAAAAGCAAAAATGAACATTCTCTGTGGAATGCAATACCCGAAAATTTGATTCTTTCGCGTTTTATTCAATAATAGATTAAAAAGTAGATAATAATGACGTCAAATAATGTCAAAATGGCTCTAAAGTAATTATTGAAAATCACTTTTCTATCAGTCATGTTTCATTTTAATTTTTATGTTATCGTGTGACCTGAGGCCTGTTCTTTTTAACCGAACTGTTGGACGGTTTATTAGCTTTCTATCTAAATTTTTTGCAATAGAATCTTATTCTAAAGAGTAAAAATTGAGATTCTTGAAAAAGTTCAATTTTCAATCTTTAAGAGATTTCACAGAGTGACACTTACTCTAAAAGTTTCAGAGTTTCTTTTCACGTTGGAGATGAAAAGAGAAAAGATAAACGATATAAGAAGTTCGATCAGCTAAAAAGAACAAATCTTTGTTGTCCCACTTGAGTACCGCTTGTTCACAATAGACTTGCTCTTTTTAGCTGAACTTCTTTGCACGGTTCATCTTTTCTCTTTTTTTTTTCTCCAACGTGGAGAAAATAGGAAGAAAAATGAATTGTGTAAGAAAAAAAGAACAGACCTTATGTGAATCTCGAGGGGACAGTCATCGCGCGATTACGTAAAGCCACGATCGAATTTTGCCATTTTTTACATAAAAAACTGCATTTTACACAAGCCTTCATTATAAAATACGAGTAAATCGATTATTATTACGCTTACTAATTAATGAATTAAGTGCGTCGTGATGTCACTCGACTCGGGATCAATCCTCTCCATGTTAGCCTCGGTGATGGACGACGGAAAAGTTCGAAAATAGCGGCAACTTCAGTCAGTACGGCACGAGTCAGAAGTAATGTCTTAAGATACGTTTTCATAGCCGCTAAAATTGGTTATTTTAGCAATAAAAAGGATTACACAATCAAAATTGATGTTCATATTCGGCAATTTTGAACATGTGATCCTTTTGTTGCTAAAACAGCCAGTTTTGAGCGGCCATAAAAATGTATGTACTTTGATAAGGATGCGATTGGCCAATCGCGAACGCGTATATGTCGAGTGTGTTCGTTTTTCACTCTTATACTCTGGTATACAAGAAAAACACATATTTGATCTACTCTTTTCAAGTTTACGTTTATCAAAGAGAAACTTGGAAAGTGGACATCCCGGCCTTTTTCGTGTACCAAACTTCGTAGGGTAATATCCACGTTTTTGTGGTTTTTTTCCATACTATTACGTTGGTTAGACACGGACAAACAATCAACTTTGATTAATTATTCGTGTATATGTAATCAAAATTGATTATTCGTCCTTGTTTAATATAGTATGGAAAAAAAACCACAAAAACGTGGACCTATGAAATTTTTAGTACACGAGAAAGGCCGGAATGTCCACTCTTAAGTTTCTTTCTGCTTTTATACATTGTTCATTCATCTTTCCTTCTTTTCTTTCTAATGCGGAAAAAAAGAGAAAGGTTAAACGAATGCATAAAAAGTTCAGTCGAACAGAACAGATTACTTTAAATTATTATAAATTTATAACACATATATGTGTATACTAATCAATATTTTTTATATCGAATGTTGGTAACTACGGGAATTTTTACCGATAAAAATATACACACACCTCAATCAATATCAAATACGTTATATACGTTATGGTATACGGTATACGTTGCGTATCAATTATAAATGTGTGTTCTGTTTATACAACTATGTTACAGATAGCTGTTGATTGAATGGAAATAATTTAGACATCGATATAAATTTTTTTTAATAACTGATTTACCTTTTGTAAATTAATAAGTTTCGTAGAAAAAAAAATGTTTGAAACAAAAATGTTCGATTCGGAGTACAACGCGCTGAAACGCGGGTGAGTGTGAGGTTAAGAAATCTTGAATTTATGCTTTTAATGTTACATAAAAGATCACTATATTTCTTTTATGTTCCAGAGAACATCATGTTATTCTTCAAGAATATAATAACATTGTTGAAGAACTTAAACGAGAGTTAGAAACGTGCAAAGTAAGAGCTTATTTATTATTATGCTAGTTTAACAGTAACATGATATGTTCTTCCTTCCAATTGTATTTCTCTCTTATTCTTAAATAAATTATTTATTTAAGTAGAATATAAAAGTTATATGATATTAAAAGAATGTCATACGACTATTTAAAAATGATAAAAACATATCTCCTGAGTTATACGATTTTTGTATTTTATCAATACTACTATTCTGTAACTCTTAACGACAATATTGATTTTATTGCATTATTGTTATGCTGCGTTATGCAATATACTCTCTAAATTTTTTGGAGTAGAAACTTATTCTAAACTTATTCTAAAAAGTGAAATTTTAGTTAGTCTTGGAAAATAATGGCTTAATTTTTAGTCTTTAAAAGTAGGATTTCACTCTTCAGAGTGAGATTCATTTCAAAGGTTTTAAAAGATATAAAATTAGAGAGATATGATATAAAAATGACAATATAATGATACTATTATTAAAAGTTATAAATAGGGATCATGGATAGCAACAATTCTATATATAACACATCTATCTTTTACAGACAGAACAAGCCGACATTCGTTCTGAGCTACAAACTTTGCATGTTGAGAATAAAAATAGTAGTGATGCCATACGTGATTATATTTCACATGCTCATTCAGAGCAATGTGGTAATGAAGATGTACATAATAAAATAGTCATGAATTTGAAAGAGCACATTGCAGTCCTACAAATGGAGAAGGATTATGCGATCCATTTGTGGCAGATGTCAATGAAAGCTGTAGATACTTTAGAGCAAGAATTAAAAACTCATCCAGTAGACAACAGCGATGTCAAGTTTTACGAGGAGCAATTGAAAGACATCAGACAATCATATTCAGAAGCTATAAAAGCTTTAGAGAGTAAATTACTTCAGACTAAGGAAAATTTTACAAAGCAGCAATCAATGTGGATGTCGAGTAAGGAGACAATAGAAGCTCTAAAGCGAGAAAAACAGGAAACAGCAACAAGACTTCAGGAGCTTCAACAAGACTCTCAAAAGAAAGGTCAGTGATTTATAGTATTTAATTCAAGATATGAAAAAAAGAGATACAGTATGTAATTTTATTTAAAAGACAGGAATAGTCAACAGAAGATACAATCGTTAATGGAAGAATTATCTGCTGCAAAAGCAGAGGTACAAGTAATAAATCATTTAAAATCAGATTTAGAGAGGAGACTGAACGAGAGTAGAGCGAAAAACGAAGAAACAAAGTACAAGATGGCCGAAGCCCTTGATCTAGTAGAATCTGCTGTAAAAGAAAAGAATTTTGTACTTCAAAGAGAGGCTCAAATAGCAGAACAAAACGCCAGGTTGGAAACTCGATTGACCTCCATTACCGAAGAGCACGCCGTTAAGATGCGAGAGGAAATTGCTAGATTAAAAGATGTTCATGAGCATAATGTGAAGAAATACTTGTCAGAGATCAAAGAGCTGAAATCAGAATTGCGAGAAAAGGTGACACAATTGGATCGATCGCAAAGAGAGAGTAGATTGGCAGAGGAGGAACTGGAGAAGATGCGTCGAGATTCCGAGGATTTATTAGAAAAATCTGCCGCGAAGATTCTGACCTTCGAACAAGCATTGAAACAGACGGACTCCAAGTTGGAGGCTTGTAACGAAATATGCAAGAGACAATATAATTTAGAGATGCAGCAGCTGCGAGAAAAGATTGTTAATTTGGAAGAAAAGTTAGTAATTTCAAATGAAAGACTGAAGCAACTTCAACAACAGAACTCCGTGGATATACGAGATCGCATCAAGTTGGCCGATGAAAGGACGAAGGACGCGATCGATCACTATGTTAATTTAGAGGGCCAATTAATTAAAGCTACAGATGATAAGGAATCCTTGGCAATAGAATTGAAATCGCTACAGTCAGCTTTCGATCGCGAGATACATAAGAGAGATTATGAACGATGTTCGTTGGAAACTAAGATCCATGAATTAGAAGCGAATCTTTTAAAAGAGAATTATGTAACAGAGGGTAAATCGGACATTAATATTTCTCCAATGCAACATAGAGTCTCCTCGCAACATAGAGCGGATACAAGCAAACATACTTTGGATATACGGTAAATAATTTTATTATACAAAACATTTCAATACACCTATAATATTATACAACCTTGGCCAAAAGTATAAGGCACCTCCACAAATTGACGTAAATGTCCTATATTTAACAAAAAATAAATTTTTAAATAGCTATTGCAAAATACTATTTATATTTTTACAATAATATTAATACTTTGTTAATTCTTCTTTGGCTTTTGTTATCACCTTTTTCAAGAAAATGCAGTAAATTTTATATACGTATGGCCAAAGTTGTATTTACATAAAATAAATAACTTTCACTTTGGATACTTAAATTTATGTTTTCCAGATTTGAAAATATGGACTCCAATTGGCAATCTTTATTAACTGAGCAATTAAATAAACAACAAGAATATTTTGATAAGAAAATAAGAGAGATGACACAGCATGTGACAATTCATCAAAAATTAAGCAGAAAGTAAAAAAAATCTGTTTAAATTTATCACTATTTAAAATTTGGCTAAATGATCAAAATTTGATTTAATTTTAAGATGGAGAGATGAAGCAAAATCTTTGACAGCACAATTTCAAATAAAGTCTAAGGAATTACGTGGGAAAATTAGTTCATTACGGAAGGAGAATGCTGAATTACAAAAAGCACTTTGCAAACAACAATTTACTCAACTTAAAACAGATACTATTCAACCTAGGTTAGTATAAAATCTTAGAGAAATTGAGTCAAATCAAAATGATATCTTTTTATTTATATTTCTTTCTTTCTTTTGTGATTTTAGTTATATACAAGGATCCGAGACCAGGTGACAATGTCCTATACTTATAAGTATAGATCGATTGCAACACATCTCAGATATTGTAAATATTACAGACAGATTAGTTTTACTGACCAAAAAGATACAAACCTCAAGAAGCAACGTTAATTCTTTTTTTAAATTATTTCCTATCTATTTGATAACATTGATATTGATACTGAGTTCATTCTTTGGAAATAATGCAAGCTGTGAATAAACTAGGAAACCAATACAACGTCTCATCTTCTGCTTGTTTGTCCAACCAGGCCAGTCCTTCTTTCATCATGTGGTCCAAAGCCTTCTGCGCTCTGTCCTCCTCCCATCTCAATTCTTTACACAGAATAGACTTGGAAACATAGGCGTTTGTAGACAAGCTAGCTTGACTCAACACTGCAGTATGGTCCATGCTGAGTTCACCAGGTATCGACTGTACTAAGTGCTTTCCCCTGCCGATGGGAAGTACGGAGAAGCCATTCCCGAATATTCTCAATTTCTTCGCAGCAGCTAGCAGGTCTTCATTGGTGATCTCCTGATGTTCTTTTCTACGTCCTCTGGCCTGAATCAAACGCGTTCTTAGTTCGTCTAGCGATATCAGGCCACCGTTCTTGTAGTTCGTTGCCATGCAGACTTCAACGATCTGGACGGCTAGCTCGTAGTAGAAGTCGCCGATGCCCAACACCGACCAGAAACCCTTACCGGATGCCAAAGGATCCACGCCGATTGAGGCGCACATCTCCGTGAACTGACGTCGAAACTGCGCGTTCTTTTTAATCTCATTCTTGTATTTTGAAGCAAACTCCTCAAGATTCACGCGGAACGTCTCCATGTGCTTGGTCATCTGCTCGAACTGGTTTTCCTGGATCTCCGTGCCCTTGTCTCGGTACTTTTCCTGCTCGAGCTTCTGCTTTTGTATTGCACCTACTCCTGCCTTTCGTCTCATCTTTTCCTGACGTTTCTCCGATTATCAAGCTTAAATTTGACTGCTCGAAACTGATTTTGTTGTATGTGTATGTAGCGTCAAATTATCCTCAGTATATGTATACGAGTGATTTCGTTCTTTCACATTTACACTTCGACTTTCTATATCTTTCGCATTTTTCTGGCACTTTTTATTTATATTATGTAAAGGTCTTACAAAATATTTGTTTTTATTTGCTTACATCTTCGAGCAGCGAAAACGACAGATGATGTCAGAACTCTTCAGTCTCGGGAGTCCCATTGTTAATTTATCCAAGGTCGATGGTAGAAGAGCTGAGAGGATGGTGATAGATGGCGCCTCGCCAAGCCGGATCAGAACGAAAAACCGCGACCGGGAGAGCACGGGAGAGTGCAAGAGAAAGGCGTCTCCTATGGTTCGTCTAGCGGGGGTTACGGTCTATATACATAACCAACAACAATGTCGATCGCGTCCGAAGGCGACGCGTGAGTCGAGTGAAAATCGCGTGCAGCGGTGAGCGCGACGACGATGCTGAGGTAGTTGCCGTGGCCCCCTCTCTCCTTTCTTCCCTCTCCCTCTCTTGAAAGCGAAATCGAGGAGGTGAGCGCGCGCGCGCGTCCGTCCGTGTGTGTGCGTGTGCGTGCAGCGTGCGTGATATTCGCGCGGTTCGCTGTCGAGGTGAACGCTTGCGGAAAGTCGGCGGTGCCGCGGTTGGTCATCGAAGTCCCCCGTATTGCACGGATGCGCCGTCCTTGTTGAGCGGGCGACTCGCGAGCGCGGACCTTCACCGTGGACCCCCGCCTCCTGGTGCTGGACAGTGGTGAACATGGAGGACTACAAATTTCTCTTCAAGGTCGTGCTCGTGGGGAACGCCGGTGTGGGCAAGACCTGTCTGGTGCGACGATTTACTCAGGTGCGTCGACGTGACGTCTGGTCAACGACTGCTCTCTCTTTTTTTCTTCTCTCCTTTCCCGTCACGGGTTACGAAAGTTTTCCTCGAGGAAAACTCGCGAGAACTCGTCGTCAAGCGAGAGGCATTCTCGTGGGACTCCCCTACCTTTCCTCTCACGCACGTAGAATTCATGCACGAACGCGTTTCCCGGAAAGGGTGGAAAGTTCGTTATTTTATGCATTCTGGAGATGATGTCATCTGCATATATGGAACGTTACTTTGAAGCTGATTTACCGTGGTTTATTTGCCTGCGATGGATACCATTTCATGCGTTGTATTTTCAGTTTATGTCAGCTCATATGCCCCAAAACTTTCTAAAATCTATTTCCATTGGGTAATCTTTCATGTGATTCTCAAAACTGTAGTCATCTCTTATAATAGAATGGATTACTGAGCATTATTTTGATAGTATCTTTCTTAAGTGACATACATATGTCAAAATTACAAGTTGATAAAAAATACATTATTAAATAAATGGATATGTAATTCAACGGAGACATTAAAGCAATATCGACATGTTTAGTTTTAGTGTGATTATTTTATATGATTTCTATAATTTTAGTGTAAATATTTTAATTTACAGGGTTTATTTCCACCTGGACAAGGTGCAACAATTGGAGTTGATTTTATGATAAAAACTGTTGAAGTAGAAAATGAAAAAGTCAAGGTATATAATCTATATGCGACATGTGCATTAAATATTTATAATCTATTGTTGTTTGTTTTTTCAGTTGCAAATCTGGGATACTGCAGGTCAGGAAAGATTTCGTTCCATTACTCAAAGTTATTATAGATCAGCACATGCATTGATATTAGTTTATGATATTTCTTGTCAACCTACATTCGATTGTTTGCTAGATTGGTTGAGGGAAATCGAAGAATATGCAAGTAATAAAGTTCTTAGGATATTAGTAGGTAAATAAAAAACATAAAGATTATAAGTTAACGTGTGAGGAGGTGTCTCTCCTATTAATAAGAAATCATTTAATTTTTATGTTAATTAGGAAATAAAATTGATCGAGAAGATAGAGAGATACCGACGCACGTGGGAGAAGATTTTGCACAAAGGCATGGCATGTACTTTTTAGAAACGTCCGCTAAAGAGGCGGAAAATGTAGAGAGATTATTTATGGAAATAGCAGCTGAACTTATGGAGGTAAGCGAGTGCATTTTATTTAAGATTATTTCGTTTTAGAACATTTTGCAGTGCTCGTATGTTATTTTAGCAAGCACGCTGTAAGGAATTACCTCGATATGAAACGAATACAACTTCAATAAATGGTAAAACAACGTCAATCGGTGATAGTAGTAATTGCGGTTGTAGCAGACTCTTTTAAATAATTTTTATATGTTATATTATACCTTTTTTTATAGACACGGTGATTGAAATCGAGCGTATCAATATTTGATAATTTAGGAAACGTATAGTACACGTATATCTTTGATACACAATGTTATTGTTTAGTGTTATGATATTATATGCTACGTTGCTTTATACTATGTTGTAAGATATATTTAATATTTAAAACAAGAATTTAAATATATCATTAAGCAGTCTAGTTTTTAGGACATTAAATTTTTATAGATATATAGCGCAGTTTTACGCTCTCTTACCGCGCGTTTTATTTAATTGAAGTAATACTGCTTGATATTAAATTGTTTAAGCATTTATTTCCATTTGCAATGGAAATTTTATTTAATATAATTGTAGTATTTCTTTTTTGTTACTTCAAAAGTACAAATAGTTATTACCATAATGGATTTTGGTAACTTGTCCAAAATCTTATTAGTAATAATAAGATTTTTACACATCACACAAGCCTATGATGTATAAAGTTATTTCTAACGTGCAATACTTATATGTGTTTATCACAGCTATTTTGAAGAAGACAGCTCACAATGTGACAGTTTATAACAGCATGTTTAAATTAAAGGATAAATGACATTGTAACTTTGCATACAATAATCAATGAGAATAATTTTTGTTTTAACGGATTATTTGTTAAGGAATAATCTAGAGCAGTGATAACAAGATATTATTATTAAATAACTTTTAGCATTTATATGATCAGATCTTTGTTATATTTAATTTCTAATTTATGAATCTTAAAACAATATGTGGTCGAATATTAATTATTCTATATACATTTCATATGATATTAAAGTGTCTAGTCTTTCCCATTTCTTTTATACTTTATATATACTAATATACATATAATTGTTATAAGTAATACGTATTTAATTACGAATTTTTTGTTAGCTCATACTTTCTAATTTTTTTACATAATCTGTAGTTTATTAGTATTAATTATTACAGATTGTTTCTTTTATGTAAGTTGTATGTATGTGATTTCACTGAGGCAAACATTTATCTTTTTTTTTTTTACAGTAAAAAGAGATTAAATTAGTCTTTGAAATTGTTACATATCTAATGTTTATTTATCTAGTAATTCTCAATCAAATTTACATAAATTCTGAGAAAATAACTCTATGTGCGTTAGATGTTTATTATATAAAGAGTAAAATATTTTCCTTTCATCGATACCTGTAATTAAGATCTTTTTAACTTAATAATTAAGTTACACTAGTTATTCAGTTTGAAATTACTCCAAAGATTTTATATTACGAAAACATTTTGTTACAATTACATAGTGTAAGTTATTAATAATGCATAATATAAATCACGACTTGTAATAAAAATTATATTAGTCAAAACATATATATCAATTTTCTTAGTATGAGATTAATATTGTGTCTTCATATAAATTATATATACAGGGAATCTCGAAATTCGCGAATCAAAATACTACAGCAAGAAAGTTTCTGAAAAAATAAGTATTTATCATTTTTTTGTTCTAAACAGTAGTTTTTGAGATACAAAGGTTTAAAACTGTTTCCTGTTCGTGAGTCGCTTATTGATAGTTATTAATGACGGTGACATACGAATCAAGAACAGCTATTTAATCGTGTCTTGTATAATTGACAATGTACTTTTGAATCATTATATCTGAAAAACTACTAGTTGAAACAAATAGCAAGTACTTTTTGAATGTATTTTTTCGAAACTTTCATGTTGTGGTATTTTTATTCGCGAATCTCGGACACCTTGTAGAGGTTAAAATACATTACACAATGCACGGGCAATGCACGTGCCATTTGTTCTTAGTTTATAGTAGATTTTATAAAAATTATATAGTCAATACAAATTTATATCACGTATATTTCTAATATATAAAAAAATTAATCAAAATTTGTTACTAAATTACATACAAGATTTATAACAGATAATATTTTCATTGACTTTTGCATAAGTTTTTAAATACTTACGAGTATTTTTTGTATTTTTATATAATATTATCTCTCTTAATAGAAACGTGCATCGAAATATAACCGTACTGCTATGTAAAATATTAAATATTTTATTTATATTATTGATTGTGAAAATGTTTGCGTCGCAACAGTTGCAGAGTAAGCGATTAAAGTTGATTGCGAAAATGTTCAATTGAAATTCAACATAGTTAAATAAAGTTCACGTTCAGAAAAAAGTTATGCTCCTATTCACTCATTATTATACTTTCAGATTGTAACATCAGATTTTCTTGCTTCTGACGTCACAATTTAAAATAATAGTGATGAGTGAACAGGAATTTTAAATCATCATCTCGTACACGTCTGTATACTGATCACCTCATTAATTTTCATAGCTCAGCTAACATTTCTATTGCTTAATGATTGTGTCTCTTTAGCTCATTACACGTAGATTTCACAATAAAATTACAACAGTCAAAAATTAAAAATAAATTTAATGTTTATATATCTTTTCTTATTTTTTAGAAAAAATATAATTTGACTTTTTTTAAAATTTAGATTTTTTGCGCACTTTAAACATTTTACAATTAATGAAATATTCTTGCATAAAAACAAAACTTTTTTTTTGTATAATTCATCTTCAAAAAAAAAATCAATCAAATCCGAATTTAAATAAAATTACCAATTATTATAATTTGCCAGATTGCAAAAATATATAATCCGATAAAAAGCTATTTATAATACAAATAAGAAAAAAATAATCAGCATTATGAAGGAAGTGCTAGATATTACCACGGTTATTTTAAAAAAGAATGTATTTGATATTTATTAACATAAAATACATCCAACAACAATAACAATGACATCTTTTCATAACTTGATAGAATAGGAATATTTGCATGTCAACAATGTCATACAAAATACCTATTTCATATATATATATTACATATATATACACACACACATGTATATCGTTTTAGTAAAGAATGATTTAGCTAAAAGGATTCTTCACTTTAGATCTTTCTAAAGTTTATCATATGTCATCTTTTCCAATATTTTCATACGTATTATATTCAATGGTATTGCGTGTATAATTGGTTATTTGCATTTTCTCGCGGTTAGAATTAGAATAGACGCATGAATGTTTCAAATGTAAAAAAAATTAATTTTTAATATAAATTTATTGATATAAGTATGTGTGCACGCGCGCGCGCGCGCGATACATTCAATGATGAACGAATTATTTAATAAGACGTGGAATAAGGAATGTATTTCGTTACAAATATTGGAAAAAATTTTCTAAATGTGTTTGTTTTAAAGATAATTCAAATAATTGTTCCTGGGTTGTTTTTTCGAGTGCTAACGAAGGAACAGCCATTTCTTTACAATTACTAATATATATCCCACCTTTTCTTTCAATATCTTTGCTAATTGCAGCATACGTTATTGGAGTTGCTCCTTGATCAGCTGTCTGCAATAGTAAAGTAATAGTGAATTGATTGATAATAATTTGAAGAACTTGAAAAATTTGGTATATATTGTTACCTTCCATCCAACCATAATCCACTTGTTCCAGCCTAATATAGTCTCTTTGAATAAATCTGTTTTCACTATACCTGGATGTACAGCATATACTAGTATATTCAACGATTTGTCTTTAAAGAATTTCTGCAATGTTATTGTAGACATTGTCTGTGCTAATTTGCTTTGTGCATACGAATTATGCTTGCAAACTATTTCTCTGCAATAATAAAATAAATGTTAAAGTTTTAAGAAAAGTCACACGTCATACATTAGCAAATAATCGTAAATTCATCATTGAAAATAAATGAAGAAAGATAGCTACGATATTGTTATGATTACTTGTAGAAATTATTGACGTATTCAAAATTGATGGTGCCGACATCGTGAGCGCATGAAGTAACATTAATAATTCTACTACATTCTTCAGGATGTCCGCCAGTTTTCAATAATGGCAGAAGAAGAGATGTTAGTAAAAAATGTGATAAATAATTTACCATCCATTGCTCTTCATATCCGTCTTCTGTCTTTTTACAAATAGTAGGAAACATAATACCAGCTAAAAAATACAAATTTTTTTACACGGAGGAATTAACATTCTATATCAAAATAAAGTTGAAATATCACTTACCGTTGTTAACTAATATATGAATTTTATCATAATCCACTTTTATTTGCTTTGAAAATTCTCTGACGGATTCTAGAGAGGAATTATCAAGCTTATAAACCTTTGCTCGTCCACTAGTGATACCAGATTTTCTAATCTGTAGGACAATATCTTCACCCATGCTAATTACTCTACAAGCTAATCATATTTTCATGTATTAACATGTTCTAGAATAATAATGCATCGATAATAATTTAAATAATTTACCTATTATAACTTCCATGTCACACTGTAACAATTGCTTAACTACTTCCGCTCCTATACCTCTAGAACCACCGGTTACAATTGCAATTCTATTTGGCTTTGGAAGTAAATCTAAAAAAAATATTAACAATCAAACAATACAAACATTATAATTATGTAATAGTAAAAATTTTGTTTTGTTAATCATGTTCTAAAAATAACAAATTTTGAAAAAGCGTGTCATAAACAAAGAATTAAATATTATATTGTTAAATATCATCCAATCTTAAAAGACCTTATTTTTATTTCAAAATAATTTTCATATCTTCTTGATTATAAGGGAACGGAAAATTTTATATGTCAATATAATTTTGTACAATAAATGATCCAACTACCACCAAGACATTTTCAGTACGACAATTTATAATAATATCAATATGCCTCCAGAATTTATTATGACTCCAATTTTTATACAAAATAAAGATAAAATATTTAATTTGTATATGTAATGTTATATTTATTTATTTATTTAATATTTAATTTCTATTGTGCAATATCGCTAAAAATTTTTCTGGGATATATAAATAAAATTCCGAAAAGTTATATATATAATTTGTTCTTGTTTTCATCAAAAACTTTACACATATGTATTGCATACAGAGAGTGTTTTAAATGATGCAATATATATGTGTAAAAATATATAAAAACATTTATATATTTTATATTTTCCTTTTTTCTTACCTATTTTATTGTGTCTGGCGTTGAATATATCGTGACCATAATACTTTATTCCAACGGAATAATATTTTAAGTGACAGAATAGGCATGTTTTTTGATAGCAAATGATGCCGAGCACAATAGAGACACAAATTAATATCGCTTCAAATAACATTATTACACGAAATCGTTCACAGATTTAAATTCGTCAGAACAAGAATATTCAGAATCGAAGCACCAACTTTAAACTCAAGTTGCAACGAAATTTATGTCGTAAGAAATTACCCAAACCGATCACCGTTAGGCACTGCTCTTATTCGTCTCGCATCCTTACTTTCCAGCCGCATCAACCGTTATGCGTACGATCCTCGTCACAGGCCATATATATATATATATATATGTATATGTATGTATATACACATATTATATGTACATATATATAGGAAGAATGCTTAAGAAATATAACTTGGTGAGAAGGGAGATCAGTTCTTTTCTCTGATATACATGTCCTTCACAAAAGAAAGTTTCGGTTGTTATGACGGAGAGTAAAAGCGTATATAGACAATATGTGTTTAAATTTTTCTGAAAGAATAGGATTATTTAAATATTCTACCGCGCGCGCGCGTATGTTTAGTTATTTATATTTTATTACATTGTATTTTGCATTATATATTTCACTAATAAAATAATACTTGCTACCGATATCTTATATTAGATATTACAAATATTACATAGTTTATCCCTACTCGATCAGAGTCTGGAAGTATGTCTTAATTTCTGAGTGTACAATATAAAACGATATGGACCGTGAGAAATAATTTCCGTTATTTGGCAGAAGATTTGAACAAAAAATTTTATGAAGTTATTTTGAATTTTAAATCTGTTCTTTTCTGAAAACTGATTCTTTAATAATTTTTTCTTGATAACACAAAATTTGATAACCGCAATACACCTTCCTTATACTATTCTATAAGTTATGTGGCTCTACAATTATAGAAAATGATAGATACAGTCAAAATAGTATCTATTATGAAATCCTTGTCTTTTACTCATTTTCAATATATATCTTATTTATATTGCTTACATTTCAATTTCACTCCTTTATTTTAAAATTGCATCAAAAGATTTTCTAATCTTGTCTGGAATTTTGATCCTATAATTATCTGGAAAATCAAGGAATTCTCAAGCAATTTTTTGAAAGATTTCGAAAAACATCCTATGTGTAGTAAGTCTTCCTTACCATTATATATATATATATATATATTTCACGGTTTTAATTATCTATAGAAAATGACAGATATAGTCTCGTAAAATTCCTATTTGCTATTAATTTTCAATATATAGTTTATATAGTTTTTTTTATAGTTTCTATTATTTATGTTGTTTGCATTTCAAATTATTTAAAAGTTGTATTACAAAATTTTCTAATTTTGTATTTGAAATTCAGAAGTCTTAGGAAATTTGTTTACAAGATTTTATTAAACTTACTAACTCTGTAAAAATACAAAATTCTTGTTAAATTCTTTTTATATAACTTTTCAGATACTCTTGCATGATACATGCAATTAACCTATATATAATTTAGCTCTATTATTTACGACAGAGCAACAAGTTATGACTTTGTACAATTATCAAAAATTAAATTGTGTGACGCAATTATATATCGAACTTATTAAAGCTTTTCTTATCCTACTTATATCGCGAAAGAATGCAAAAAAATTTTGTAAATTCAACATGAATTTTTATGTTTATTATGAGATTATGTACGAGATTATTATACGTTTTTGACAATAAAAAAAATATTTATGCATAAACCTATCAATAATATGACACGATTTTTAATACTGTAAAAACACAAATAACGCAAAATATTTCGGAAAAAAATTTTACATTTATGAATAAATATACAAATTATATTATTTAAAATATAATAAATTATATCTCATTCCAAAAAATTCTTTTTTTTATTTTTCTATCCGAAAAAGACTATCTAAATGAATTGTATAATTTATTTTGCTGTATTATAAATGAACAATATGACTTGTATATTTAATTATAAATTTAAAATATCTTCCAAGAACTTTTGCGTCTTTATCTGTGTTTTTAATGTAGTATTACAAATCGTTTTATATTGACATCGTTTTATAATTACATTTAGAAATAAAATTTTTAGTACCAAAAAAATTTAGGATAAAATAATGTAATCATCGTATATATTAAGGGATAAATTATTTCACAATTATTAATAAACGAGCAAGAAATTTTCATCAATGATGATTTATTTTTAATAATTCAGACCGATAATAAATGTCTTGTCAAATTTGAAATCTTAATATTATACATTGCGACATTGATACATTTTTTATAATACTCAGAAATAAGAATCGGTACCCAATGAGCATTACGTTGTCAGAAAGAATTTTTCAAAATAGCTCATATTTAAGAATAGAACGTCCGATAATTTTGAAGATAATGTAATCAATAAGTTGTCTAATACGTCACAAAAGAAATAAATTGTTTAAATGATATCTAAAGAATTTCTAATTGGATATATCTTACAGACATTAAGAACATTTGTGCATTAAAAAACGCTATATATAAATACCACATAAATCTCTAATTAATTTTTATACAAAATTAAACGAAATTGTATTGCCAAAATATATCTCATTTAAACTTGTGTCAATAAAGAGCAATGAGTCCAGCACTTTAGTGCGCCTAACAAATTACAATATATTTCATAAAAGAATTACAAAAATAAATAACCCAAATGTTTCAACTTTTATTATATAGCTGATTAAGTTATCTTCAGTGGATTTAGAAATGATAACTTACAGATTAAGAAAATGTATGTATCATATCTCAAAACTATTAAAAATAGAAAGTTTTTATATATCGTTCTATTATTATGTCTAAGTATTTGTTAAAAATTTGAGCACAAGCCTTTTATTAGTTTAAAAGTTATTTAATTTTTTTCTTAGTCTTGATTCTTATATGTAAAATTGCGTTTTGTATTCGCAATTTGATAAGGTCATGACATTACGAATTAAATAAAATTTTTTATATGTACTAAAATGGAACTAACAAATGTCTGAGTAAAAATTTATTTAGATATGTATATTTGTTTAAAAGTTATTTGTTTAAAATGGTAACGAAACCTATAGTTATTCGCTGTATAAATCTATTATAAATCAAATTATTTGTTTTTTTACAGTTGGTTTCAGAGTATATTTGTAACAAAATTTGCTGGATATCATTAGCTGTTATTGACCCTCGTATTGATCGTTTTAACTGTATTTTTAGCTGACAGCCAAATATCTAGTATATCTAGTCAAATCAAAACATGTAATAAGTCAACGCAGCATGAGTGTCACAGATTGTCGCTCGCAGATAAAAACATGATGTAAGAATACCAGACGTATTACTTGTATCGACATCAACTGAATTTCTTATGATTAGTGAATTTTTAATAACGGTTTTATATTGTTTTATAAAATTTAGAGTCAATTTCTGATTGATTACAAATTTCGTTATTACTCAGATTCACCTGATTTTTTATATGATCTTTTCACATTATGGCTAAATATAATATTATATACTTATCGCCAAATCCAAACAAATGTACAAAGATATGCAGAATTCGAGAATTTAAAATAAAAAATACCTAAAAATAGAAAGAGAATAATAACTGCTATACGCTATAAGTGATGATAAGATAAAGGCAACTTGAAGTTAGTTGCAATACAGCTGAAGGAACGAGCTTAATTGATCAACAATAAATATTAAAATGTGTGGTTATCTCATTTACTTTCACACATAGATCTCATCTTCACTCTCATTTATTTCCATAGATTTCTATTTTAGGAACTCGATTAAAAAATCGCCCTGTTAAAACATGGTGGGAGATCTCATTGTTCTGCGCTTTTTAGTCTAGTTTGTATGATTCTTACGAGATTAACGATAAATTGAGCACCGTGTAATAATACTTATAAAGTTAATATCATAAGAATTTTTTTACCTTTGGTTTTACGCATAATACATATAATGTACTATCATTTTATTCTTGATTAACATTCGATGAAAAAAAATAAAGTATATATGATGTATCATATGCTTTACGGAATGCAGCTTTGAAAAATATCTTACAAATTTTTTTTTATAATTTTCAGAAGACTTAAATAAGATCTTTAAAAAGTCTCATTTTAAAGAATTCTTCCTTTCAACAATGTTCATTGAATCATGGGTGCCCGATGCTCCAACTGTTTTATATTTTTGAACTATTGTCACGTAAATATACGTATTTTAAATTTAAAATGTTAAGAAAACACGTAAAGATACAAAACGAAATATATTTTCTATATAAGTACATTTTTCTTACTGCAATTAGATCTTTTTTTTTCAAATTTAGTATTTTTAATTTAGTAAAATGTTCTTACCATTTAGATTTCTATTCCTGTTATATTACCTTTATATGACTTTTTACCTCTACTTCCCTTCAATTAACTATACTAGTATATTGTTCTGAGAAAAAACACAGTTCTTATTTTATATTACTTTCATTCACATTCTTTATCATTTTTCGACTCCTTTAGACGATTAATCATTTGATTTTAATTAAACAACACAATAACATATGTTAACGTTAGTCAGCCAAGTGTTTCTTTCAAAATAAAAAATTAATTCGTACTTTAAAAAATATCAAAATTATAAAAAAAATCTTCAAGGCTTTTAAAAGAAGCTTACTTTCTTTTTTCTCCCCATCTCTTCAATTTTTTTTTCAAATTGCGCAAAATAAAAGTAGTTGAAATTTATCATTACAAAATTATTCTCGTATATCATCTTAAACTTTTACATTGTACAAGTTATGAGAGATAAGGAAATAAATTATTCATTTGACGATTAAATGTGTTTGTGTGTGGGTGTGTATTTTTCACATGTATTTTTAACGTGCATTTTCTTACATGATTTCTTCTACGTGTACTTTAAACAATAGAATATGAAAGTCATATCATTATAAATTATAAATTTTTACAGAAAAAGTGTAGAATTTCTTAATGTTTCAAACAAAAAACGTCATTCTTTGTCTTACTACGAAGATTTACGAGAAATTTTTATGACAAATGAAATTTTACGCTACTCTTACGTGTCAGTACAAATATTTACGAAAAACTAAGAATTTCTGAAATCTTATATTTAATTCATATAGTTTTTCTGTACTTTCTCGTAAACAATTTTCTGGCAAGATAAATCGACACAAATGTTCTTTTCCATCCTTCTTTGCATTCCATGAGTAACAAAGACAGAACGATGCTTTGCTTGTATTGATTTGTGTCACCAAATGGAAAGCACCCTGTAACCTGCTTTTTATTCCTACACTGTCTGAACTAGTGCACACGATGTAACAAGTTAAAGTAAAACAAACACGTTCTTTTCA